GAGTTACTGTGAACTGAGCCTTCCTCTGGCCCCACCCGAGCGCCGTGCTGAGTTCTAGAGCAAAACAGGAATAAAGGTCCCTAGGGCAGGGTCCCCCGGAATCCGTCCTGGCGGAGGCAGAAGCCCGAGGACGCCTGGTCGCGGGGCGGGGAATCCGCCGCCCCGAGGCCGACCTGCTGTCCGTCTCCAGACTCGGACGTTGAATCTCGCTTCTCCCCGCCCTCGTCCCTGTCCCCGTCCCTGCCCCTTGACCTGGGCTTTCGAACCCAGGGCCCCTCGGCGTGGGTCACTCTACCACTCAAGTACCTCCTCAGCACCCAGACTTGCTCAGACTCGTGATCCTCCTGCCTCAGCCTCCCGAGCAGGGGGAATCACAGGCACCGTCCCCACGCTCTCTGCAGCCTGGGACTCCTAAAACAGGAGTGAGGGGCTCTGCAAAGGAAGGGGCCTTCCCAGAGAAGGTGCTGGAAAGGACCGAGAGGGCACCCTGGCAGAATTTCCCCTCTTATATGCAGATTTTCTCTTCACCCCGGGTTCCCCAAAAATCCCAAATTATTTCTCTCACTCCCTACGGGATAAGGGAGGAGAAGGGGAATGGGCCTTCTAGTGTCTGATTAAGGAGGGTGAGGGAGCTGGAGTGGCCCCTGGAAAGGGCAGGAGCCTGTCAACACGCTGAGCTTCCCCACCCACGGGGTCTCGCGCAGCAGCAGCCTTCAGAGGCTGAGAGAAGCCGACAGGACTGTGAACCACTGCCCCATGGAACAGGGGAACAGCCCGGGAAACCGGCTCAGCATTAGATGGGCTCTCAGTGGTCTGCAGAGGCTCGGAGAGGCCGTTCCCAGCCAGGGAAAGAGGTGCGCTAGCTGCTGGGCTGCACACCTCTTCCCGGAGCCTCCTGTGGGTTAGTGATCATTTTGGTGGTTTGTCTGCTTTTTAGGAGAGAAGGTTAAGAGAGTGAGAGGGAGATAAGCTGCCATCTGTCAGAACAGTTAGTTTTCCTGCGGGAGCAGAGGTTAAGCAGACTCCATGGGTCCTGTTGGCTAAGATCTGTTTCTCCACCTCACACTGCCCAGAAAAGCTAGGTGAACCCTGCAGATCTGCACTAGCCAGTGTGGTCTCTGAGAACCACTCATGGCTCTGACACTTGAAATGTGGCTGTAGGTGTTAGATGTGCTGGAAATGTAAAGGACACTCTGGATCTTGAAGACTTAGTGTGAAAATAATGTAAAGTATTTTGCTAATAACTTTTTATTGGTTACCTGTTGAAATAGAATTTGGATATAGCAGGTTAAAAAAAATATAGACTATTGGGCCAGAGTTGTGGCTCAGTGGTAGAGCGCTTGCTAGCATGCATGAGGCACTGGGTTCCATCCTCAGCACCACATAAATAAATAAATAAATAGATAAATAAATAAATATATTTAAAAATTAAAAAATAAAGACAGGGTCTCACTGAGTTGCTGAGGCTAACTTTGTACTAGTGATCCTCCTGTCTCAGCCTCCAGAGACACAGGGATTAAAGATGTGTACCACCACACCCAGCATTCCTAGCCCTGTTTATGTATTTATTAAATATTTTGAGTTGTAGATGGACACAGCTGCTTTATTTTATTTATTTATGTTTGTGTGGTGCTGAGGATCAAACCCAGTGCCTCACGGGTGCTAGGCAAGCGCTCTACCACTGAGCCACAACCCCAGCCCCTCTTTTTATGTTTTATTTGATATATAGGATCTCACTAAATTGCCAAGGCTGAAGTCGCTGGGATTACAAGTAGGCACCACCATGCCTGGCACTTTATCCTTTCTTGACTGATGACTCCCTATTGTCCAGATGCCAGTATGTGAGAGAGGCTACTTTTGCTTTCTTAACAGCATCTCCGTTCTCACTATTACATATTGTGTTTTTCTGTCTCACTTCCCCACTTGAGGTAGAAGCCACCTGAAGGCAGGAAGGTTCCATAATCTGTCCTTTGTACTTTCATAATTCTGCTGCAGACGTTTTCATTGGGTTCAGTGAAGCAGTAAGTACTGGATGATCAGCTGCTCTGCCCACATAGGCCATCCCATTTTACCTTTTCTAAAAAATATCCCCATTATCTGGCACTTCCTAAGAATCTAAAACCAGGAACAGGACTCTTCCTTTATAAAGTCAATAATCTTTTTATATAGGGCAGGTAGCTTTGACTGCAGAGGAATAAGAAAGAGGGATGGTAGGCAGAGAAAGTATCTTGGAAGAATTAGGGCGTGAGGCCTCATTTCCTCCTGGAGAAAAATTCCCCAGAATATGCCCCTGAGTCATAGGGTTCCACCCCCCAATCTTTACCTCAGGGGCTTCCATCCCCCTGTCCTGAAAGAACGTCAGAGATATGCCAGGAGGTCAGAGATGTGTCAGAGATGTGCCAGGAGGGTCTGATGAGCGCTCCCCCGCCTTCTAAACGGCAGCTTCTTTTCTCAGACTGACACCTCCCATCTGGGGCCACAAATAAAGGGAAGGATCAGAGGCATTTTGTTGGCTGCCCTTGTCTCCCCAATTACTGACTGGGAGGAGGAGTGAGAGAAGTTCATTGAAATTCATTTTTGCGAATGTTTAATATTTCAATTAATATGATTAGGTCCAAGCCTGAATGAGCCTCAGGGCGGCAGATCTGCTGAGAAGACACAGAGTAAGGAGATGAGTGGGGCTGTGGGGTCTTCCCTTCGGCCTCCTCGGAGGGCGTGAGCTATTTAGCATCTCCATAAATACCAAGATCAGATTAGAAGGCAGGAAAGCAGCAGGGGGGGTGGGCAACTGCTACCTGACTCAAAGCCACTTTGGAGATAGGATCTTAGGGAACCTGGCCCCTGAGATCCTACTACTACTACTACTGCCCTCACCCCATCTCCATCTCAGGGTCCCCTACTGAGGGCCTGGGCATCCACAGGATGAAGTGTACACAAGTCTTCACGCACACACATCCACTCAAATATACGCACCTGTCAGAATGTAGCTTCAGGACACAAAAACCCAGGTTAAGGAAGGATGGCAGGTGGTCAGTATGGAATCAAGCAGTAGAAAGGACTGTCTCACCCAGGGCTTAAATGAAGACAGAAGAGGAAGAAAGGTCAGGCTTAACCACTGGCCCCATTCCCAAGAGGAATGTTTGATGTGGGAGTTAAGTGTGTGTGGGGGGGGCAGACTGCCCAGGCTCCAATCTCAGCAAGACCTCTTTCTAGATGCATGGCCTGAGGCAAGTTATTTAATCGCTCTGTACCTGGGATTCTTCATCTCTGTTTGGAGATAATGATAGAATCCACCTCGCAGGGCAGGGCGGTGGTGAGATTTTAATGAGTTAGAAAGTAAAACACACTTGGAACAATGCCTGGGACAATGTAAGTGCCACATAAGTGCTGTTACTATTATTTCGTTTCCAGAAGAGGAGACTGTCAGCCTCTGGGATTGGGCTGGGACACACTTCAAAGACACCAGCACCACAGTGAAGACATGGGCCCCACCCTGGGGTGAGGAAGGGAATGACGGGGAGGGCGGGTGTTCTACAAAAGCCGTGAGTCCTGGTAGGAGAGCCTCTGACGGCCACCACTGTCACTCAGTGGGCCCAGTGAACTCAGGGCCAGGCTCCCTCAGATCCTGGAGCACACCAATCATGCATACAATTGTTTTCAGGGAATAATGGCCCCCAGAGGTGCTTCCGCTCTCCTTTTGCTACCTGACTCAATTAGAGCGAGTCCCATCCAAGGAACTCACTTGAAGGAAGAAGCAAAGGAAGGAGTAATTTGGCTTTGCTTCCCTAACGGGGACTTGGCAGCTGTGTTTCTTCCCACCGAGAGAATCAGGAGTCCACTCTTGTCAGGGGTTCTGGGCATGAAGTGTTTGTTAAGCACCTACTGCGCTTGAAAAAGGCACGGTGCTAGACACCGGGAACAGTAGAACCCTGGATTGAACCTGTCTGGGTCTTGAAGGCGCTTCCAAGTGAGACCTCCCGCTGCCTCCCTGCCCACACACTTACACACCCGAACCCGGGAGAGACCAGGGGGTGTCGGCAAAGGCCAGCAAGGACAGTGCTTCCTGGTTCCTTTTCTGGAGAACACACGGTTCTCCTTCTGCCCTCCTCTCAACCTGCTCTTCCTCTTCCCACCTCCCTTTTTCCTCCCCGTGTCCCTTCTGCTCGGTCCCCAGACTCTGCGACCTGTGTCCCTCCCTGTCCATGCCTCCCTCTCTCTCAACCCGCCCAACTGTTGTATCCGTGATTTCCTTCCCGTGGTTTCTTCCCTTGGATCTCCACTCTCAGGCTCCCCCAAAGCCGACTCCCTCTCCTCCCCGCCCCCAGCTCCCATCTCCTGGGTCTTCTTTCCAGCACCGGGGACAGCTCCAGCCCCCGGAACAATGGACCCCACCTTAGGGCTCCTCTATAAATTCTCCATCTTAGTGCCTGGCCCAACTCCTGGCTGGGGCTAAGATGGGGGAAGGGTTGTTATCAACAGGACCAGCTGCTCTTTGGGGGCGGGAAGGGAGTCCGGGAGGACCGAGACGGAAAGAGGGCGTGGCTCTCGCCCGGGTTGTGCGTCCCTCTCCAGGGTAGAGAATTTGCATTCTGCCCCTGAGACTGACATCACCGCTGCCGGGGGAGAGGGGGTGGGAGTGGGGAGGGGGTGTGGAGGGGGAGGTTTTTGTTGAGGAGAGCGCGGCCGGAGAGCAGAGCTCCGGGACCCAGGTGACCGGGAGAGCAGGCGGCCCGCGGCGGGAGCAGCCGGCAGCAGCCCAGGCCCGGGGCCGGGGTGGGGTGGGGGGGCGAGGGAGGACCTGAGGGGGCGGCAGGGCCACAGGGACCCCCGGAGCCCTGCCGCCGTCCGAGACCCAGCGTCTGGCATCTTTCGGACCCCGCAGAAGGACCGGCCACAGGGAGGTGTCCTCCCTGGGGAAGCCAGCGAGAGATCCACCTGCCCCCATCAGGAGGGCCCCCTCTGACGCCTGGCAGCCCTGGCAGTCTCCGCCCAGCGCCCTGGCCAGGCCCGGGCCCCCACCTCCAGCTGCCTCCCACGGCCCCCAGCCCTCCAAGTCCAGCACCCCTGCTGCGCCCCGGCCCTCGGGTCCCGGCCACACTGACCCCCATCCTGGGATCTCTGCCAGGTCTCCGGGAGGGAGACCGTGTGTTTGGGCTATGCCCCCTGGTGGCACGACGGTGTCTGCCTAGACCCCTGACCCCTAGCCCCGGCTCCCTGGGCCTCCTTTGTGTGAAGAGCTGCTCCTCTGCTCAGAGTGTTTGGGGGCCAAAGGGAAAGCCAGCCCAGGCGGGGCCCCCGGCCCCCACCACTTGCCTCCTGGTTGGGCAGCTCCCCTGGCTTTGGGGCCTCTCCCTGCTCCCCTCGGCCCCTCCTCGTGGGCCGCCCCAATGAAGGAGCCGGATGCCATCAAGCTGTTTGTGGGGCAGATCCCGAGGCATCTGGAGGAAAAGGACCTGAAACCCATCTTCGAGCAGTTTGGTCGGATCTTCGAGCTGACTGTCATCAAGGACAAGTACACCGGGCTGCACAAGGGTGAGGGGTCAGGCTGGAGAGGTGGCAGTGGGTGGACCAGGAGGTTGGGACGAAGGGAGAGGCCAGGCTAGAGAAACGGAGTGACTGGGAAGGGCTGATCTGGAGGGAGGAGTGCTCAGGCTCAGGGGACTCCGGATGGAGGAGGTGGACGAGAACTCAGGTAGAGTGACCAGGGGACTGAGGATGGAGCACTTAGGGGTGCGCTCTTGGGTGAAGAGTTTTCAAGAGGCTGCAAAAACGTGGATCCCAGAGATGAAAGGAGGTGTTGACGCTGTGGGTGGACTCCAGGAAGAATGAAGGGACAGGAGAGCTGGTTTGGAAGACAGGGAGCTGGAGGTGTGTGTGTGTGTGTGTGTGTGTGTGTGTGTGTGTGTGTGTGT